TTTCATATCAAAATGGCTACTAAGCATATTTTTAGTTTCCACATGATGAATGCAAATTGAGTCAATTATAAGTAGATCATCCACATAGAGGCTAATAATGACATGTGAATTTTCTTCAGATTTATAGTCAATGCATTTATCACATTCATTCGTTTTATAGCCATTCTCAATCAGCAGGAATCAAATTTCGCATGCCACTGTTAGGGGTCTGTTTTAAGCCAATTAGGGATTAACTAGCTTGCACACTTTGTTTTCTTACCGGGTTCCACAAAACCCTCAGGTTGATCCATATAGATTTCTTCACCCAGGTCTCATTTAAAAAAAGCTGTTTTAACATCCATTTGATGAATTTTTAGAATTCATGAAGCAGCCACTGCAATTAATAAGCTAATGATTAACTCTAGTAACCGGAGAAAATGTATCAAAAAATGTCAAAATCTGCTTGTTGTTTAAAACATTTTGCAACAAGCCTTCTTTATATTTATCAATAGTTCCATCCGGTTTAAGTTTTTTTCTCAAAACCCATTTACAGCCATATAGTTTTACCAACCTGGTGTAAATCTAACTAATACCAGTTTTATGGATAATATGATGTTCCCATCTCATCATTTTACAGTCTCGTTCCCAAAAAACAGAGTCAGAGAATCCAAAGCTCTTAATAAAGTTAATGAATTTCCTCCACATTAAAAAACATCGAATTAGTTCAGCACCAAAATCTTTTTCTAAATCTGGCTCTTTTACTCCTTCTGGTTAAAAAACACATGGTATCCTGTTTTGAAAAGAATGAGTAAGAGGAATCAATTTCAGAATAAAATATTTTCTTGATAATATTGACCCCCAACCATTTTAGATAAAGGAAATTTTTTTCAATAACGAAATTACATCACCTAATTCAAAAATTATTTGTTTTCATATCAAAAAAATCTATAAGGCCGTACTAATTTTGGTTGCATTCCAAGAAAAGCACAAGTGGCAGCTTTCACACTAATTTAGGGTCTTTTAGGGTCCACAAGTCTACACAAAAGCTAGACAACTCCCAAACTCCTCAATATATCTCCAAATTTGCTATGCCTTTCTACATTACTCAAAAATGTGTAACTTTATTTTTTTTGTGGCAGTTCTCTATTCATAACATAAAGCATTAAAAATGTTTCTCCGCCCAAAATTGAATTGAGCATTCCTGCTCATTAGCATAGCATTTGTTAAATCAATTAAAATTTTTATTTTTCCTTTCTGCTACAAACCATAATGCAGCGTAATATGTGTGGAAGGTATCTTCATGATATTCCCAAAGACTGAGCAAACGATTTGAACCAACAATTACATCACTCGCCGGCCTCTATCACTCTATACGTTTAATCTTTACCCGAATTGATTTTCAATTTCAAGAGGAATACTTTAAATTTTCAAAAAGCATCACTTTTTATTTTTTAACAAGTATACATAAGTTAATTTGAACAAATCAATCATAAAGATGAAAAATATCTATTTCCACCACGTGTTTTAAATATTCCTTCAACTTCACATAAACATGTGAATTATCTTAACAATTAAGTATTTCTCACCATAACTTTTCTATTAGGCCTTTTAGTTAATTTTTGCTTGACTGCAAACACTTCACATTTCCAAACTTGCTTTGTTACTGGAATTATAATCTAAACTACTCATGACTCCCACAATCGGACTATTAATCTATGACATAGGACAGTAATGGCCAAAAAATTCATAGAAGACAACATTAAACAGAAACATTCGTTCTATTCTCAACATTTAATATTTAAACATTCCACTCATAGCATTACCCTTATCCCACAATAATATCCTTTTTAGTGATACATATTGAATCTAGATTCAAGTATCTGTTTGAAACCTACTTGTTGACAATAACTCGACATCGAAATTTTTTCCTCATGGACGGTGTGTACAACACATCTTTTAAAACAAGTCACATCTCCAAGGTAAAATCAGCTCAAACATCCCCCACCCAAGCACCTTGGTAAACTGAGTCACCAAGCATAACGCCCTCCTCATTTAAAAGGAGTGAATCTTTGAACCAATCTTTATTCATAGTAGACATGCCTATTGGCACCAGAGTCTGCCCACCAACCCTTGCTACAGATTGAACCATAAAAATATCTGTGATCATAGCCACAAATGTTCCCGGTAACATTACCTGTGGTCGAGACGTTTTCTGGAAATTTGCACGTTCGATTCAATATGCCACATTTGCCACACAAAACATTCAACATTTGTCAGATCTTTGAAAGGGGTTCTTGTTCATTTCTTTGCCTCCGGGTAATTTTTATTTGTGGCCTTCCACAATTTTCAAAATTTTCTTACTGGCTTCCAAATGACTAATTTTTATGAAATTCAACCTTTAGTAAAGTATTTCCATAAGTAAAATTTACCCTTTGCATGGACGTGTTCTTGGTGTATAGAGCCCATCTTGTCCTCAGTGTCTCCTCCTCCACTCCGAATCCGTGTAATTAGAGTCTCCAATGACTCTCCTTTTGTTTTGACACATCCGACTCTGGAACTCCCCAACACGATGAAAGTTGGTCAAACAATACCTGGTCAACAAGATTGTCCAATTTTGATGCCTTCAGATCTAACTTCAGCTACCTAACATATGAAAATCTTTGGAACTTGCTCTACACCACTTTTTCCATCTATTACTGATAGCGGAAAGAAAACCGCACTGTCAGCATATTTTTTTACGCCTGCTCTTTCAGTTCATATTTGTTCTGCAAGGCTTTCCAAATTTTTGCAGTGGCTGTAATGTAGTATCATAATTAATCCATTCAAAATGATCTGAAAGACAATTCAGAAAGATAGTATCGACATTTATACTCATCTGTGTTGGTACTTTTGATTTTTCTCAAGAATGAATGAGCTAACTCCCGTCCGCGTCATCTTTCAGTGGGATTTGTTTGATTTTTTCTCGGTCAGGATATAATGCACCTTGAGGAGAATGAGGTGAAAAGGCAACATTAGCCTTTCCATCTCTGGAATGAGCCTCCTGACCGAGAGGCTATTGAGATCCGCGGTATGATTCTCATGGGCTTCTCCAGTACTGCTCCATGACTTTTGCTAATTTGAATCTCCTTAAAATTGTTGTGATAATTACAAATAACACACAGAAAATACAAATAATAAAATTATAATAACTTATTATCAGGGCTGAGGCGCGGAAAACTCGCTCTCTTTAAGGAGATTCAAGCGCCTCTGGTTAGGCAAAGCCTCACACCGGTGCAGCAGAAAAACCTTGACTTGTCCCCCCAGGATACAACAGCCAACTAAGTCGTATGGTTCACCAATACTGCAAAATTGGTTGAACCAAACTTTATCACACACACCCTTTTTTATTGCCTGATAATCTACTCAAGACATAACCAAACAACCAAAACTTCTTCACCTCGTGTCTATTTTTTTTTTATATGACAAAGTTCAATATATATATATTGGAAATGAAAACTTAGTGGAGAAGTTAACAAAAAACTAGACCAAGACGAAGAAAGCTTATCTAGGAAGACAAGGTGATAAGATAGGATAGATTGGAGAAGACTTTGGATTGTTTAACTTCCAAGTCTTGGAATGGATAAGCAAGAGGAGACAAAGACCAAGACTAGGAAGACTTAAGGGATAAGTTTTGCAAGCTTATCTTGTATGGCTTTGGATGGATAAGCATGGTGGACTAGGCAAGACTTATCTTGGAGTCGAAAGATCATTATAATATAAAATACTTGCTAACATACAAAATATGTGAATGGTTGTAGAGAGTAGATATAATAACAAGATGTTAGTTGGTTATACAGTTAGGATTGTTAGGTGATTATTTCTTATATTAATAAATGTGTATATTTCCTTGTACAGTGATGAATTCATTTAATCATTCAATGAATAGATTCACAGATCCTTCAATAATATACTATATGAAAAGTGAAAATAGTATAAAGGAAGAGCAACTTGGATCTTGATAAGGATATGAGATATTTGCAAGATGAAATTGTGGAGGCGAGGAGTACTAGACCATCATAGTGAATGTGGTGGTTTTCATAAGAAGAGAGAGTACACGAAAGAAAGAAGAAGAATAAAAAAATTTGAACAAGAGAGAAAAGAGGTACTTAAGGTAAACATCTCTATTGAGTGTACAACTTTAAGGGTTGTTTGAGGTGTCTTAAGTGTCCTTTTTATCTTTTTAGACTAAAAAATTGAGGAGAAAAATATGATGTTTGGGTTAATTTTTTGATTTTATGAAAAAATGTGGTATTAAAAATTTAAAATTGTTTGTAAAGAAAATTAGGACTGGAATTGTGCAGCGTAATCGTTGACTTTTGTGTGAATAGTGTTAACTTTTTAATTTTTTGATAATTTTTTTGACTTTTTAACTTTTTCTCAATATCCCAAACTTGGCCTAAATGATGGACTTGATTGAATGATCAATTGCTTGTAATGTTGGACTTTCGAGTTTAAAACGTTCGGAGCTTGATCTAAATTTAATTAGAAAGATTAAGTGGGTGTTTGGGAAGGAGTTGTTTTGGGTTTGTTTAGTTATAGGATATTATTGAGAAATTTTTTTTATGTTTGAAAGGATAGTTTACTTTTTTATAGTTGATTCATGTTTGTGAAGAAAAAGTTAAATATATGAATTTGATGTGATATTTTTTTGAGATTTATTTTTTTTTTTGTAACCAATTTTTCTTTAATAAAAAATGTAACCAATTTTCTTTTAATAAAAAAAAAAAATTTTTTTTCAAACACCCTAAGTTTGGCCAAATTAAAATAATTAAAAATTTAAAAATAAATTAAAAAATCAATTCTCAAATCAATTCTAGAAACCAAACGGAGCGTGTGAGTCCAGAGTCAACTCTTAGGGCACCGTGTGTTATTTTTGGTCCAGCCCGAAGCGTAAAGTGCAATTTACCCAATCTTAAAAAAAAAAAAAAAAAAAAAACAAAAAAAAAACATGGCGTATGTGTATACACACGGCCTTATGATACAACGCATGCCGGATGACCGATTCAGTTTTGAATTGGCTATAGCCGTGCGTGGTGGAGGGGGAGGAGAGTGAAAGAGGAGAGAGAGAGAGCAGTGACAGCGAACGCCTCTGAACAAAACGGCATTCCATACTGAGAGAGAGACTCCCATCTAATAAGTCTTGTTTCTCCTCTCTCATCATCGTCTTCGCACACAAGGAATTTCTCTTTCTTTCTTTCTTGCTTTCTTTTTGGTAATGTTGACAAATTCAATTCTGTTGTGTTCTGTTGGATTGATTGATTGATCGATCGATCTGGAGTGGAGTGGAGTATTTTTGAGTTTTTGTTCCTTTGAAAAGAGAAAAGAGGGAAGAATAAAGAAGAGCTGGATTCCGTACAGGAGTCGTTGAAGGCTACAGCCGCCGCCGGAAACGGTCAGATCCGGTACAGATCACCATCGGCTGCAGAACTCCTGGAGGGGCAGTCGTCGTCGGGATCACTGGATCAACTGGACAAGATGCTGATGAAGCGCACCAGGCAGCACGAGTCTCTCTCCGACAAGATCCACCGCTTCAGAGGCGTAATCCTGGTGATTTCGGTCCCTCTCCTCCTCATCTCCTTCGTCCTTTTTCTCATGCCCACCCGTTCTCCCTCCCTCGACTCCTTTCCTAACCGCAAATTCTCTCCCAATAACTTCCCCCTCGCCCGTGCTGCCCGGAGTTACGCTGTCATCTTCGACGCCGGCAGTTCTGGCAGCCGTGTCCACGTTTTTTGCTTCGACCAACACTTGGATCTAGTCCCTATTGGCAAAGATCTTGAGCTTTTCTTACAGGTATAATTATAAAACAAACATCATTGATTCTCTCTCTCTCTCTCTCTTTTTCTTTTATTTATTTATTTATTTTTATTTTTCTTTTTCTGCTCTGCTCTGCTCTGCTATTCCCAATTCTCAATTATTCTCAATTCATCATAGCATGTGTCACTTTTTGTATTGTAGCTAAAACCAGGTCTGAGTGCATATGCGAAAGATCCCAAGGCTGCTGCAAATTCTCTCAAGTCCCTTTTAGAGGAAGCCCAGAATGTTGTCCCAGAGGAGTTGCGGCACAAGACTCCAGTTAGAGTTGGGGTGAGTAATTTGCATTTTTGTCTGGCTTCCACAATTTTATGTACTGAGATCTCATTGAAATACCCTAGTGTGATATAATGTTTATGCCTGTCAGTTCTGATTAGTTGATTTCTATTCAGGCCACTGCAGGTCTGAGGCAATTGCAAGGCGATGCACCCGATCAAATTTTGCAAGCGGTAATCTTAATTCTTTCTTCTGTTTGTATTATTGTTATTATTATTAAGTAGTTTATTCATACTTACGTGGATTTAAACTTTTACGTTCCAAAGGTCAGGGATTTTTTGAAGGATAAAAGCACCTTGAAATCTGAGGCTGATTGGGTCACAGTATTGGATGGGGCTCAGGAAGGTGCTTATCAGTGGGTATGTGTTTATGTGTTGGTGGATTAGGCCTCCTCTTTATTTGTGTTATTTATTTTCACTGCTGGCTGTGTTATGTGGAACATGATGTGCAAATGGTTACACATTTTTCTCTTTATTTTCTCATAAGTAAACAAGGGTCTGTATTAAATACAATGTGAGTTTTGTTTGTTCTTACTTCTCATCTTGATCCTTCAGGGCATGTTTGATTGGAAGGATTAAAGTATGGGATTAGGATTATTAATCCGTGGGCCCAACCATCCTATGTTTGTTTTGACATTTGGTTTAGGACTATTAATTCAATGGATAATTAATCCAACAAAATTGTAGGATAATTAGTAATGGGGTAGGGGTGAGATAGTTAATACCACACTAATTTGATAGGATTATTAATACCTCACTATTAGTATTGTGAATCAAACATGGCCTTAGTGTTTTTGTATTTCTTAAGGGGTAGGGGTTGTGAGTCGTCTGACTCCAAAAGTAGATGAGTATCTCTAAGAGGCTTGGATATTTTTTTAGTTCTACTAATATAAATTTAGTCATATCTCTAGTATAGAAAATGGAAAAATTTAGGGGATTCGTTCAGTAGTAAGAGGTTTTACCTTGGTGTCGCTTTGAATATAGAAACAACAACAGCAGCAGCAGCAGCAGCAGCAATTGTTTGGTTTTGAATGGTCAGTTGATTAGGTTTCAGCATGATGCCCAGTGTGGTGATTGTGTTTTGAGCATGGCTTTCCCCAATCTCTTTTTCCTAATTGCAAAAATTAAGGATTATTCATTCGTCTCTTAGTTAGTGGTGTGTGCTTCCTGGTTTTGTTGATCATTGCACAATTTAGATGTGGAATTGGTGCAAATTCTTTTGGTATTGGCATTGCTTTATGGTGTAGTTGTTCAAGGAACATCAGCTTTTCTATTTTTTGAAATCACAGATCAAAGGTATTGTGAATCCTAAGAATTGTTGACAATACTGAATGTAGATAGGAAACATGAAATATGCATATAGGAACAAAAGTACAGTGTTGATATGTAAGAAAGAATACGTAAAGCCCTTTTATTTATTCATTGTGATATTGCTAGGGAGCTATGGAGTCTTCTTTTGTCTACTTTTGATGTTCATTGGGTAATGTGGTCTATTGCTCTTAAGTTATTGGAATGTTGGGGAGGTGGATACAAGCTAAAGAGGAATAGGAAAGCATGGATGGTGGCGCCTCTCTCATGTGTTGCTTACAGGGAGAAAGGAATAGATGCACTAAGTAATAGAGTAGGGAAAGTTCAAATTGTGTTTATTGTACAGTTTTCATTTTTTTGATATAATTTTTTTGTTGTGAATTTTCTTTTTTACCTTGTAGATTCTATAGGGAAGTTCAACTTTCATGTTGAGCTCTTTTGGTCTTTGTATAGTTTTTGTTGGAAGTTCACCCCTTTTGGTACACTTATCAATATATATATATAGAACTTTTTTAATGACGTAATTGTTACATGGTCTTGGGTAAAATTCAATTTCAAAAGCTATCTGTTAAGGTGAGGGTTCCCTCATGTTTATATATTGCACATTACTTTCGTAGCTAGGCAATGTGGGACTTCACTTTATACCTCATCTCATGCGCATTGTGCTCACTCGGTAATACTAGTTGTGTGCAGGCTAGGGACTTGCACCCTACCCATCCCTAGTACTTCAACTCTGATAGCATGTTACACAGTCTTAGGCAAGGGTGCCCTCATGATTATATATTGTTCATTACTTTTGTATCAAGCAATGTGGGACTTTGCTTCACAATAAACACATTTTCTTAGTATTTGGCAATGTTACATGGACTCTTTTATTTTTCCCAAATACTCGTGTCCACCGGATATGACAAGGGTAAGGGTGTGGAATATGTGTTCGACCCTCGCACCCAATTTATATTTTACAATGTTCGAAGAAGAAAATTTTGCATTCACTAGTAAAAAAATATTTCTAGCTTCTTACATGGATGAGACAGAAATTCTATATTTTCTCTAAATTTTATTTAATTTCAAGTACATTTTTACATAATTTACAAAATCTTATAGAATATTATACAATGTGCAATATATGTGTCCGTGGCATGTCCCGTACCCATATCCATTTTTAGATTTATATCTCTATATCCTAAAATTTAAGTTTATGAAGGTCTGCCATTTGGACATGTATCTGCACCCCATACTCCTATCTGAGTCCATATAACATAGGTATTTGGCATATGCACTATCATTGATTATTTTGCATCAATCAGCTTGTTATGTGGTTTTTACAATGTAACTTGTGGTTCTAACGCATGGATGCAATCTTTACCATTGAGCAGGCGTGTGTGGAAATTGTTTGAAATTGCGTATTGTTGTGCAGGTGACCATAAACTATCTATTGGGGAATTTGGGTAAAAAATACTCAAATACAGTTGGTGTAGTTGATCTCGGAGGTGGATCTGTACAAATGGCATATGCTATCTCAGAGACACATGCTGGAAAGGCTCCAAGGATGTCAGATGGAGAGGATTCGTATGTGAAGGAAATGTATCTCAAGGGAACAAAATATTACCTTTATGTTCACAGGTTTGTCTCTTCTTTGATGAATTGATTAGGCTACCCATTTATTACGATGTGGTTAGACTTTTGTTTGTGTAGTATATGGGGTGTTTTGGGAAGTGGGTTAAAAGCCAAAGAGCAGCTTTATGTTAATAAATTGGTTCATTTTCTCATTTGTCTACAAATGATTTTTTTCTTAAAAATTCTCTTTGATCTTATGGTAACATCCTAATATCGGTTATGGTGATCAAAATACCATTTGTAAATATAAGTATACTTAATACAGTTTCTGCATCTCATGTTCAGTTACTTGCACTATGGCTTATTAGCAGCCCGAGCTGAGATTTTGAAGGTTGAAAATTCTGGCAGCCCGTGCATCTTGGTCGGGTATCAAGGTATGTTCAATTCTTCTAGTTTGATAAGGCTTGAAGTTGTGTTGAAAATGGTACAATTGCTCATCTTTCACATTTTTACTGTGTTCTTTTTTGTTGTTGTTGCTGAGATTCTTGTGATGTAGAGCTGCACAGTATGTTTGTAAATAAGACCTATGAAGCACGGACACGGACACGGGATACGGTAATTTTTAAAAAATGAGGACACGGACACGGCGGGGGACACGGCAAAATTTTTTTTTTATAAATATTTTTATTTTAATACATATTAATTATTTAATTTATTTTTTAAATAATGTGTTTTTATTTATTTTATTTTATATTATATATGTATTTTTTTTATTAATATGTATAAATATATAAAATATAAAATATGTGTTATAATATAATTGTGTTATAATATAAGCATTATATATTATATATATTATAAGTATTATATCTTATATGTTCTATACACTTATATGTATAAGATAAGACAGAGGAGGCCAAAAGGCGAGAGCGAAGGCGAAAAGGCGAGAGAGAGAGAGAGCGAGAAGACGAAAAGGCGAGAAGGCGAGAGACGCGATCTGGTCGAAGAGGCTATCGAGTGAGAGACGCGACTGGATGGAGGTCATCGAAGTCGACTGGTTCGACTGGTTCAAAGGTCATCGAAGTCGATTTTTTTTCTAGGTCATCGAAGTCGACTGGTTCGAAGTTGCCGATCAGGATCCTCTTGCCGACCAGGTTTCTTTCTCTTCTCCTTTACTCTTCGTCTTCTCTTCTGTTTGTCCAGATTTGGTGGACACGCGTGTCTCCGCCGTGTCTTCTGCAAAAAAATAATTAAATTAAAAGGACATGCCAACTAGTGACACCCGTACGTATCCCCGGCGTGTCGCCATGTCCCCGGCGTGTCGCCGTGTCCGACATTGCCACGGCATCAAATTTGACGTGTCCATGCTTCATAGAATAGGACGCAGATCCTCACAGAATACATTACTCAAAATTGTTTCAAGTGAAAAAGAGTAACCAAGTTTGTGTGCGCTTATAGCTAATTGCCGTACATTATAGTCATCATGACCGCTATGAACTGGTGCCTTTGTATAGCCATATCATGAAGTAGATGAACCAAAATTTATACTTCCAGTCTACAAACTGAAGTATGCTTTTAACTGGTTCTTCGATTATTATTAGATCTCTGTTGATTGGCAGTAGAGGAGAGCTCCTTCACTTCCCTTCAAGTGCTGTTTTTTATTTTATATATGTACATAGATAACAAATTTGTTTACTGTGTTGCTGGACAAGCAAATAAAACACTAAGATATGTATGCTTTCTTTCAAGGATCCTACAATTATGGAGGAGCATCTTACCCAGCATCAGCTTCTCCCTCTGGTTCAAGCATGCACAAATGTAGGACAGCAGCTTCTAAGGCTCTCAAAGTTAATGAATCATGTACACATATGAAGTGCACGTTTGGTGGGGTATGGAATGGTGGAGGTGGGGATGGACAGAAGAATCTATTTGTTGCTTCATTTTTCTTCGATAGGGCTGCCGAGGTATTAATCATTCCTTGCTTTTAATGTTTGAGGAATACTATCAAATTTATATATTTTATGGCTTCAAAAGGAATGCTGACTAGAGTGTTCCACATATAGGCTGGCTTTGTTGATCCAAATGTGCCTGTTGCCAAAGTAAGTCCTATGGATTTCGAGAATGAGGCTAAGCGTGCGTGTGAAACAAAACTCGAGGATGCCAAATTTGCATATCCACATGTGGAAGAAGATAACCTGCCATATTTGTGCATGGATCTCGTGTACCAGTTCACATTGCTTGTAGACGGGTTTGGTAAGTTATACCAGATTTAAGTCTTCTGTCAAGTCCATATGTCATAATTGTGGAAGTCATTTTTAAAAGTTGTGATTTCTGGACATTGATTGCTGGTGCTATTGGACAGGCCTAAATCCCTGGCAAGAGATTACATTGGTGAAGAAAGTCAAGTATCAAAATTCCCTAGTTGAAGCGGCATGGCCATTAGGCAGTGCAATTGATGTTGTGTCATCATTGAAGTAACCAGAAATCACATTGTTCGTTTAATTGATTGGTTCAGTTTTGGTGGCATTGTTTCTTATCTGGCAGAAAAGTTGTTCTGTTTGAGCTCAGTATCAAGTTTAATAGGTAAATTAATTTTGTGTTAATTTGAGGAATAACGAGAAATCATAGTTTTTCATTTGTTTTTGTTTGTAATTTAGTTACAGAATTTTCTGATTATAACCAAAAGCATTTTATTGATTTAGTTTGCATGGCTAAAGTACTGATACCATTTAATTTAAGATTTCTTTTTTTGCTCTCTCTCTTTTGGTTCTTGTTAATTTTTAATTTTATTCTTATATGAATTGGTAAAATAGATTGCGTTACGTCATGTTTGGTAGGAGAGGTTAAAAAAGTAGAAGGTAGCAAACTCAGAAGAATTGGGGAAAGGAATTTACATTTCCATCTTGCTTGGTCAAAGAAGGAAAGGAATGAAGGGATATTCCTAAGCTTCACTAGGATAACCTTAAGGTATTGTTTGATTTGTTGGAATGAAAGTGGAATAGATGGAATAGAAAAAAATGTTCATTATCACATTTGGTTCACTAAAAAGGATGATAATAAACATTTTATTTCATTTCACTTTTACATAGAGAGGAGGGCTGAAGTGAACTCTGGATTGCGTTTTCCAACGAAAACCTCCTCGAAGTGTCAGATTCTCAGAGCATCTCCAATGGTAGTAGGCATTTTACCTATCTAAATATTACTATAAAGTATACATTTTATTTTGCCTGTCAACAATTTCATGTTTCTACCCCAACCATGCTCTTTATTTTAGCTATTCATCCAAATACTATTAACTTTATAGAATGCCACGTCAGCAACAAAGATGGAGGGAAATAATCTTAATGATTAAATACATTTTGCCTAGCCTTGAAGGCTAGCTACATGTAGCTAGTGAATGTGAGCTGAGCCAAAATGCCTAAGCATATGCCTAGTGCATTGGAGTTGAAAAAAGTGAGTCATATTAGACATTTTGACTAACAAGCATCATATGCCTAGTGGGTTGGAGATGCTCTCAATCTTACTTTATGTTTCTCTTGGGGAGGGGGAGTAAGTGACGGTATGTTCTGATTACTAACTGAGACGGCTTCGGCTCCTTCTGCGTTGTTATACCAGTCTTCCCCTCCCCTCTACACCAGCAGTCCCTTTCCTCAAAACCCAAACACCCGCAACATCTTGCTTGGTCAAAGAAGGAAAGGAATGAAGGGATATTCCTAAGCTTCACTAGGATAACCTTAAGGTATTGTTTGATTTGTTGGAATGAAAGTGGAATAGATGGAATAGAAAAAAATGTTCATTATCACATTTGGTTCACTAAAAAGGATGATAATAAACATTTTATTTCATTTCACTTTTACATAGAGAGGAGGGCTGAAGTGAACTCTGGATTGCGTTTTCCAACGAAAACCTCCTGGAAGTGTCAGATTCTCAATCTTACTTTATGTTTCTCTTGGGGAGGGGGAGTAAGTGACGGTATGTTCTGATTACTAACTGAGACGGCTTCGGCTCCTTCTGCGTTGTTATACCAGTCTTCCCCTCCCCTCTACACCAGCAGTCCCTTTCCTCAAAACCCAAACACCCGCAACCCCCCCCTACCAGTCTCCTGTACTCTAACCCAGGCAGGCATCTACTTTCTGCAAATCCTTCCCCCCTCCCATCTCTTTTCCTCCAATCCCAATCCCAGCTCGTCCTCTGGATTTCAACAACTTTTTTGACAGACTTTCATCAAGATTTTGGGTTGTGGTTTGCTGAGCATCTCGGGACCTATTTATTGTGTTTTTTTTTTTTTTTCTTTTCCTTTCTCTGATCATCTCTTCAGCTGTTGGTGGTATTTGTTTTTATTGGTTGTGTTGTGATTGGGGTGGCTTGTCGTTGGTGGTGGTATTTGGTTTTATTGATTGTGTTGTGAACTTGTGATTGTGGGGCTTCTTGTCATTTTTGTTTCTGTTGTGAGTAAGACTTGATTACTTTGTTGGGATTTGCCTTTGTTTCTTGATATTCCTTCCTTTGTTCTTTTGGGTGGTTTGTAACTATGCCGAAAAAGGACTTTCTTCTGCACTCTGCTCCGACCACAGGGTGCTTATCAGAGGAAGAAAAATGTAAAGGGATTGCAATGGACAGACTCAAATCACGATAATTGACTATGTTTGCCACCATCAAACTTGTTATCTTATATCGACCCACTTGAAATCTCTCTAACCAATGATACCCTATCTAATGATTTCCAATTTGACTGGGACAATGTTTTACAAAATCTCAAGAATAGTGATTAAGATAGAATGGATGAAGATATGGTCAAGAACGCCATTCCACTGGAGCAAAGCCAGGCAATACCATGGGCTACCAATCTTGGAAGTGATTCAGGCAAGGGAAGTTCATCATTGAGTCAAGGCCTGTATGAAGGCATTGGCAGCAAGACAGGAGGGGGTTCAACGAGTGGTGCTACTCTTCAAATTCGTTTCATGCTCAAGAAAAAAGTGAGCTTGGGCAGTATTTTTTTCCTCATTGCTAGTAATTTGCATCCGATTCTTCAACCTGATGGTATACATTTAAGTTCCTACATTGGCTAAGCTTGCCATTGTTAATGTTCGGACAAAAGAGTTGGCTCAGACAAACGTCCAACTTGAGATGTCCGAAGTTCCCAACCTATCACTCTAATCAAGGATTACCCTATTTGATGATTTCTAATTTGATGTGCCGATTTGAGATTGTTATCCCAGGCAGACAACCTCAGAGGAGGTGAATTAGGTTGATAAATAAAAACTAAAATAATTAACCCAATAAAAATAATATGCACAACATATATAAGATATTAAAAGACATACAAAATAAGCAATAATGTGTGTGTGAAAGATAAGTAAGAGATATAATAAAGCAATGTGTGAGAGAGAGAGAGAGCAAACTCAAGATCTATAGTGGTTCGGTTTCAACCCAAGCCTACATCCACTCTTTAAGGCTACACATCGAGTATTTTCACTATTCTTCAAATAGCTTTACATGAGCAAGTTTACCTGGTACTTGCAAGACCTTTACAACAAGGATTTTGTTCAAAAAATCTCCCAAAATAAACACACTAAAACAGCCCCAGTTTTGGTGTTATAAAATCTCTTTTAAGTGTTTCTCTCTCAAACACACCCAATAAAGCTCACGGGTATAACAACTCTTTACAAATGATTTGTAGAAGAAAATGTTTAAAGCATTTAGAACAATAAACTTCTCAAGAGTTGGATTTAAAATAAATAAAGCTCACAAATTATTTCTTCTCTTTTGATCACCCCCTTCTCTATCTTACTTATAGATGAGTGTGGATCTTGTATTTATAATCCCTTATCTTCATATGATCGTTGGAGAGCAAATATAGCCGTTGGAGACGTTCAAATCAAGTGTAGAATTTTGAAATTCTATCTCAAGGTGTCGACACTTGCTGTTATGGCGTCGACCCTAATTAAAATTCTATTTTTCTCTTTTGAATTTGCATCATGGTGGCGACCCTAGCTTCTCCTAGTGGCGATCCTAACAAAGGGTGTCAACCCTTCATTAAGAAAAACATTTCTAACATTTCCAAACATTTTCAAACATTTCAAGCTTCAATCAAAACATAAGATCAATTCCAAAAAAAACATTAGTATAAAACAAATATCAAAACATAAGATCATTACAGTATAAAACAAATATCAAATGAATTATTCTTGAAGTTTTGAATCTTAAATCATTAGAGTAAACGATACACAACTTTTAAACATATAAGCTCTTTCTCTAATGATATATGAATGATAAACATTTATTAAATTCTTATATAACATGAAATCATTATATAGATAAAATTAAAGGATATAAGCAATTCAAACCGTATGTTTATCATATACATCATATTAATTTTGTATTAAATAATGTCAAATAAATATAATAATAAAACACTGTGGGAGCCGAATTAATAGTGAACGCAGGTAGGCCGAGTATACATTTAGACAATCGGTACATATTATACTCGCCCCCATGTTGTAGGTTCTGGATGCCGAATATCTTAGTCGGCCATAAAGTCGTTGAATGAGGGGCCGATTGGAAGTTGTAATATGACAAAAGAAGGACTGAGTGAGCAATCACATGACGGATTAATAGTAGGCCCTATCCTGAGGACTAGGAGTGAATATAAATAAAAGAACAACAACAAAAGAGAGGTATGTGAGAACTAGTACGCTTAACTTAAGATACAAGCAATCGAGAGAGTATATACTGACTTATCCGTCGGAGTGCTAATTCCGGCACCCTCGACCGGAGTGTTCATTCCTTTTCAGGACCACTTCCCCACAATTGGCGCCATCTGTGGAAATACTCAAGCACATCTATGGCGGGCGTGACGGAAGATCCTCCAGTAGTTGGTGGTGACCCTACACTACAAGACGAAACCACTCCAAGCAACATGCTTGGGCCATAGAATATTACTGCAAGAAGGGTCTTGAACTTCGATTCACCTACGACATCAGCACATGAGGCAATGCAAGCGATTATGGAGCAAGCGAAGCACAATGAACGGAGGTTGGAAAACATGATGGCTGAGAACGAGCGCCTTCGACAAGATTTGGCCTTGGAAGTGGAAAAATCCTAACAAGCCGCGCACCAAGACCCGAGACAACCTCTGAGAAAGGATGGTCGACGATCTCGAATTCGGAGACATGATAGTGGTAGTGGCTCTGACTCATCATCCCCAGAATCTTCAAAGAAGGGACGAGTCGACATCTCCAGTTCTTCTGAGAGAAGTCCGCGTGCACGGAAGAAGTGAAGAAGAAATGATTCAGATGAAGAGGATCAACATGACCCCTTTGTACGACGGATTGCAAGGGCAGTGCTACCTGAAAAGTTCAAAGCACCGTCATTCACCTTGTATGATGGTAAATCAGACCCCACTGATCACATTCGCCATTACAAGCAAGCCATGATGCTTCATGCAGACGACGAGGCCCTCATGTGTCGAATATTTCCGAACAGTCTGGGACCACTAGCTGTTAGGTGGTATTATAAATTGGAGCCGGCATCGATCAAGAGCTTCCACTAACTCCAAAAATCCTTTAAGGCAAGGTTCATCACTAATGAGGTCCAGCCGAAACAAGCCGATTCTCTGTGGGCAATGCAAATTCAACCAGGGGAAACCCTTCGTGCGTATTCGGCACGGTATTGGGAATGTTTTAATCTAGTAGATGATGCCTGCAATGACTACATGGCCATCACCGCCTTCAAGATGGGGTTACATCCAGA